GCTGCGGTGAGCGCCGCGCGCAGACGTCCTCACCGCCTCCACGCCGACGTTCAGGATCGGGGACCAGAGCACGGAGGAAGTGATTTATTTTGAGTTGAGTTAAAAAGTGATCGGTCAATTCGCCCTTGGTCAGGACGAAACCTGGGTATCTTCCGATTCGAAAAAGACTTTTTTGACCACCGAACAACCACCGGGCAATCGATATAATCTCAAATGTATGTCAACTCTTTAACTTAAGCTTTAACTTTAACTCTTTGACTATAACTCTTTAGCATATTGAAATCTTTTTAAATAGATGTTATACGATACTGATAGAACTCTTTGCAAAGGGCCCCTAAAAATAAAGGCCTCGGCGATGTAGAAATTAAGGAAACAATTTATAAACTTTCGAATACATTTATCGGTAAATTAATAATAATGCAAATGAAACGAGAATTAATTATGAAAGGAAGCTCATTTTGAATAGATAATTTCAATTTGAAACTTTCGATTTTCCACCAAGATATTACAGCAAACGAAGCGGTGTCCTCCGGTCGACTTGAAATCAATTTAAATCGTTAGGCGCATCATCGACTCGCCGTCGCCCACGACTTTGAAACTTCGGCTTTTGGCGTCTATTACTTGGGTGCCGCCGGCTCGACGTGCTCAAGTAGCTGACGTCTTCGAACAAATAATATATTACGAAAACCGTCGTTTTTCTTTTTATTTTTTTCACAAACACCTATACTAAAAACACACGGCCGTCACTTTGTTTCGTTCAAATATCAGAGCGGCAACTCTTTTGAAAGCAAATACTAGGAATTGAGATTGCTAAAACGTTTTCAAAACCTAAGAATTTGCCACTGATACCTATAATCATAGTGCCACATTGCTTGCGAAATATGCGGTAAATACCCATAAATTTTTCAGAAAAATTAAACTTTTAATCAAATACGAAGACATTTGAAATTTGGAATAGAGCGCTAAAAGGCATAACATTTCTCCTTGACGTTGAAGGGCGGCAGGGCCCTCGGAGTTTCATCTCGACTGAGGACATCTCACGTTCTCTTGAAATTAAATCCACCTACGCCACATTTATATTTCTAAATGTCCATATTTAGTTCAAACCACAGAACATAAAAAGAGGATAGAAAACTCTAGTTGCCGCGCTCTCACATGGACAGATTATATTTATTAAACACACATAAACTTAAACTATATTATTAATCGGTTTTGATGAAGCAAAAGCGTCTTTAAAAACTATTTTGATATTCTAAAATACACTTAGTTCTACTGTAGTTCTTTTTCCTAAATAATCTTTCTTGCACCTTCTCTGCACTTAAACATTCGAGTACCCGTACATACAAAGAAAGCAAAATATAAATTTTGCATGTAAATGTCGATAAATGTACTGAGGGTCGTCAATGCCCTAGTGAATTTAATAAAAAATCAAATTGAAATCTTACCTCGGTAACCCAACACAATATTAAAATTTCATATAAGCAAAATGTTTTGAAAATTCCACACTCGGACTCTAATTCGATATATTAAGGTCGGCCGACAAGCCTCGGCGCGGGCGGGGCGCGCCAGGTGCGCCGTGACCCCGATCGGGCGCCGCGGGCGGGCGGCAGATGGCTTAACATTCAATTCGCTCACGGCTTCCTTTCGTGTTCCTTCATAATTTTCGTTTCTAAAGAAAAATGTCGGCCGCCGGCGGCTCGCCGCCCGCGCGCGCCGGCCCCCATCGAGCTGGGCGCGGACGAGCCCCCGCCGGCGCCCCTTCGGCCGCCGCATGGACCGTCGTCTTTTGCCGATCGAGCCAAATTATCAAATGTCATTTCGAGAAAGGTAACGATGGACCCGAATCAAGGCACCTTAACCGAGTTAGGCGCGATGGCGTCCGATGAAAAACAATTACTCCTAATTGATTTCTTAGTCCAATTAGTTTTTATGCTGCGAGAGGAAACTCCCTCATCGGAAGAGCGACACGCCAACGACACGACCGGACAATTGGCGGGAGTGTGTGAACAGTATAGCGATGATCATTATTATGTTGTTTCAACTTTCGTTGTAGAAATTCGTAATGAAGTCACTCCTTTGAGTTTGAGGTTGCGGGCGCCTCGTCGCGCCTCACAAAGACGTGACACTAATAATGCAATTTAAACCCTACTACATTATTTATTTGGACGCCACATCAAACTACAGGCACTTATTTTCAAAGGTGCTCTCTTTTATTGCACTAGTCAACAAAAATTTTACTTGCATCTTAAAGTAGGTATTAATTAGTATATTAAAGTGGGTATTAATCTTGATTTAAAATTGATAATTAATTTGTAAATATTGACTACCATTCTTGAGACAATGATTAAAAAAAAAATTTGTCGTGGGACACCCAGTTCCAATGAAATCCTTTAAATTTTATATTATGTTACATCAAATAACAGGAACAGTGAAACGAATTAATATATTTTAAGTGTAATTAAATGAGAAATATATAAAATAATGTATTAAGAAAAATGTTCATTTACTTAACATTGGATATAATACATATAAAATAGTGGATTATAAGTCGTATAAAGCACTAAATAGCGCCTTCTTTTTTTATTTAAAAACTTTGTTAAATTCGTTAAGCTGCACAGATATGTCATTTTTGAAATCGATAATTGATGTCACTTTGATATGTATGGAACGAGTTTATTAAATAATTAAAATTGAAAACTCCACCTCCAGAACGAATAAAACCTTAAAAATTACCATAAAAAATACCTTAAAATTACCTTAATAAAGTACATTATTATTCATTACAAATGCATGTAACGTGATAATAAATAGATATATTTACCAATATGTTGAAAAATGAAATTAGTTCCACGTCACCCGCAGCTGTCGTCACATTTGCTTTATTAAATAGCGTCTGTTAAATAGAGAGAGAGAGAGAAAGAGAGAATCACTAAGACTCGAATGGAGTGACATAACGCTATTTTCTTATTTAACGATTTCTACCAACTTACACCTCCCAACCGAGGAGCCTTGTAACACGTTCAGTGTGTACATGTATCATGATGACAGATTCGTTTTTGGATAAATACCAGCATATTTTAGTCAAGCTATAATAAAACAAAAACTAGAGCCGATTTTGAAATTCTACATGTTCGTTAATCAGGCAACAACAAAAAGGTAAATTTTGTAGAGATGTATTATTTTAATATTTATAGAAAATTGTATTTTACTAGATAAATCTAATATTTAATTATTTTTATTTATTATATGTATAAAACAAAATAAAATAGTATTTTATACATATTAATTATTTAATTAGTATAACATACTAGCTAAGTCTAAGAAAACTTATAAAGAAAGAACTAAACCACCTTTAAAGGCTATAATAAACTCAATCTTTATTTTCGTAACAAATTCACTAAATTACTTCCGACTATTAAAATATAAACTTCAAAATGCAATTTAAAGCTGATTTAGCGTTAGTTCACTGTACTTTGTACATGTATGCAGCACCTACACATTAGCCAAGTGCCCTAATTTTAAAAGTACACATGTTTTAGTGTAGCTTAGCGTACGGAAGCTTGTAAACATAACTAAGCAAGAAAATGAAATTCAATATCTGCTTCTTTTTAGGTAGTAATATTTTCTGAAACGTTATTTTTTTTACCTTTTCGTAAATAAGATTGTGTGAGGCAAGCTATTGCCCTTTTATTTTTGCCTCTGTCTGTATGACAATAGACTAATGCCAACATCATTCCTTATCACAAATCTGTGGGATACGCAATAGACAATAGAAGCGCCATTAGGCGTCATAGATGGGCGACGTCCACCTTCAGGCACACTCGCATTTCGCGCGGTCACGCGTCGAGCCGCAGAAGCCTGTTAGGGCGTATGACCTGTAGCATCCCTTCTCGCATGTCCGGGTTCTGTTCGGCTTGTATATGACCTTAACGAAGTAGCGTAGAGAATAGAATTATTACAATAGAAACTATTCGCAGAGATTATTTTTTTATCTACACTTCTATTGTTTAGTTTTTGTAATAAATATTTAGCTTTTAATTTTTCAATATTAGTCGAGTTTGCGAATGCTCGGTGCTTTATCTGTCTGTGTCTATGCCCAGAATCCGATAGTCTACTTCCTTCGCCGCTTGCCGTGAACACTTTCTCTGCTCCCCTTATTTCTTGCGGACGCGATATTTTAAGGAGCGGTAAATGTTCCCGTCGGTCGGCGCTCGAATCGCTCGAATGCCGCGATCAAAACTTTTATCGGCCGCGGCTAGCGAACTAGCTAAAAGCCCAACTAAAAAGTTTGCCCATTAATTGACGAAAGCTCCTTTCGACGTCGATCCGGGCCGTCTCGGGCCGACCTCGGCCGCGAGGTGCCGCCCGCTCACATCAGATTAAAGGCTTTCCCGTGATCGCGGAATGCCAACTCTAATGTATTCCGCATTACGAAAGAAAAATCGCCCTCTTGATTTATTATAACGACTTTTGTTCTGAGAACTCGGTAACCGGGCTAAATTCATGAGTCCATTTCCGCCCGCCCGCGCCGGCGGCCGACCTGCCGCAACATCCGGATTCTTTTGTGGAAAGTTAGGGCACTGCTTTTCAGATACTAAAAACGGCATTATAAAAACAATAATAATCGGGTACTGTTCCTAAATACGTAGATAGGCCTGTTCATCTTTAGGACTTGTATTAAAGGGTATTTACTTATGTACATTCATAAGTTATAAATAATTTGACATTACAATTGTATTTATAAGAAAATACAAGTAACTTGTAACTATGCTTCCTCCTTATTAACATTGGGGCTTTGTCGCTTTTATCATTGCGTCAAGTTCTTATGAGGTATATCCTCTTACAAAAATTTTATATCGTACGGAAGAATTTGGACCTAATGCCGCTACAGCCAGCGCTGTAGCGGTGCGGAGACGACGTTGCGATTGACGGCTTAAGGAAGTTCTTCGCAGTATAGAGCGAGTGCCCTTTAATTTGACTTAAACTCTGGTTAGTTCGCATATTATGATCGAGAACCGATCCCGATATCTTTTAGTTTGAAAGCAAAGATTTTAACCTCTCAACCACCACCACACCACGGTTAATTAATGCTTACTACATGGTTCTATTAAATCACAAATTATTAAAAGTTTAATTAAATGAACTTTAACTGTCTAATTAATTTTATTTAATTGAACTGTTTAATTAATTACATAAAAACAATGTAAAACTTGAAGAATTTCATAAATGAAAACTACTTTTTATTGTTGATGTCTAACAAAATAATCATTTATAATTTTTAGTATCTCTACCAAATTTGTCCCCATGTACTATATACAGATATGTAATTTTCTAGATGGTGAGATTGCTTGACAAAGAAAGTTTTAATTTTACACAGCTATAGGAAAGTGTCTCATTTACGAATATAAAAAAAATGTTTTGACTTCGTGCGTCGCTATCTTTCGCCCATATCTAGGCTTCGGCTATCACACTACATTGTGCGACTTGTCAACTATGGTAATCTACAACTTGTCAACTAACAAGTTCTAGATTACGATTTTGTTCTAATTGACCGTTTTAGTAAAAGACCAAAATTGAAATACCCCTTGTTCCTATGGGAATTTTGTAATCGTAAAATTTACATGCAAAGGTCAGAGAGGTTGCCAAAACCTTTGAAAAAATGTCATTGAAAGGCATGATTCCGGAAAACCGTGTCAGGAAATGAAAAATTTGCATATGTCAAACGTTTAAAATTAAATTATTAATCAATAGACGCTCTAGAACAACAATTGAAATTTCATTATCTATATTAAATTCCTTCGAATTTTGTCAAAATCGTAATTCGAAAATTCATTCAAACGCAGTAAAATTAAGAAAGGTCTCTTCAGAAAATTGGAATCTTAACTTTTGTTTCCCAGTTTTTATACTATACTTTAATATACGAAAAAACAAATAAAATGCCTGCAAATTGACGTGACAATACTAAAATAAAAAAATAAAAACTGTGTTTGCATGTCAGCCGATTACATAAAGTCAAAAACTCGTTAATGGGGCTCTGTGCGCTTGTCCAATAAAATCCCTGTAAATATTCGAAACATGCTCGTATAGTCATTGAAGATTATTATTAGACAATTACCTAGCATAAAACTAATAAGCAACCGCGATCGGCCTGGCAGATTTCGAACATCGAAACTATTTTGTATAGAAAACATGCGTAAAGGCTTATTAAAGGAAATAAATATGACATAATCAAAAACGAAATATTCAAATTTTTTTAAAGAAAAATTATTATTTAAACAAAAAGCTATTTTTTGCTTTTCTTTAAGAGGAAATGTGGTATTGGGAAACAAAAGAAAAAGAGGAGCTTCAGGTTTGTTATCATAATATTTAATCTGATAGCTCATCTGTCACTTCAAGTGGTAAATTTGTATATAATGACGTATTTTAAGAGTTACGTACCGTATGAAATAAAGATAGCCTTTAATTTGATTTTAAGCTCGGTTCTGCTTTAAGTTCTTATTTACAAATGTTTGTTTCACATTTGCAATCATCTTCAACTGCTCGTTGTCAATCGTAAAAATCGTAATCTTTTCGTAACGAGCGCCGACGAGCTTTAACAGCGCCGATGTGGAAAACACATCTAAACTACACGATTCAGACGTTTCCTTCAACATCAAGGCTGTCTATTCTACTTACATTTATTATTCATGGCTTATTGTGAAATTTCTGTGTAACGTGTTTTCCGTATGCGGTACTTGCTTTTTTTAAATATCACTTTTTGTATCCGTGAGCCGCCTACCTTTATTTTTTTATTAAATGTTATAACATAATTGTATAGAATGTTGGCCGCGTGATTTTGTTTGGTTTGACCGGTGTTCTTCATTTGTTGTATTATAACCATAGTAGCCCGAATTGCCCCGATCAGTCGCTGCACCACTGTTGTGAGAATACAAGACGTTACGAAATGTGAATGGTATAGTTGGTGAATTTCTGTAGGGGACCATTTTTTTTAATTCGAGTATCCATGGTAAGTATTTGTTCTACTTTGATGATTATTAACGTCCGCAATCGCATGTCTATTCATTCTCATGTTAGTATCGGATGCAACAAATATTAAAAACGTTAATATCTTACAGTACGCCTTATTTAAAAGATTAGACTTTAAACGAAGACAGGACAGATATCGAAGCAACATCAAAGTTAATGGAACCCTAAAAAAGATCATAAACGAAGCGCCAGTCGGAAGGTTTCTAAAATGTGATCGTTGTACGAATCGCGACAAAATATATAAATTCATCTGTCACGAGAAACATTTAATGTACGGGAACACACAAAGCCTCGCGGCAAGGTGTCGGGCACTCCGCAACTCTGCACTAAATTCATATCGGGGCCGGCCTTCGGAGGGCGCCGCCGGCGGGGGCGCCCTCCGATGGAGAAATGCAAGATAAATTATTATAGGATCGGGCGGCCTCGAGTGGCCGCCGAGATAAAATATGTGTCGAACCCGCGGCCCCGCGCCGAGGCCGCGCGCGGCTCGTTTCCGCAGAAACCTTCCAACTGTTGCTCGCGATAACGGCGGAACCGACGCCGATAATTCGGACGGGTTAAGCGCCACGATAGGCACACGCCAAGCTTTATCGTCGCGTAGCAAACTCATCGCTCGGCACGAGGTCGCCGCTCGGACGCTGCCGTTCAGTCAGATTTCGGTGACCCCGCTGCGGAGTGTTGTATCTCTCACACTCTTTTTTTGTACTTGAAAAGCTTTCACTGTAGACTTTCCACAGTGGCGTAATCTACAGAGCGAGAAGCGAATTTTTCGAGCTTTTCTAGTTGCATCTAAATTAAAAAGTCTTTGGACAATTCCCCGCTGCCGCGGCCAGACTCGGTGCCCGCCGCCGGACGTCGCCGGCGCGCGGCTTACCGCGGCCGACACCGTTTGCGATCAATTACAACTTAAAAGTCTGCTAAAAAATTCAAATTAATTTGTAAATCTTCACAGCAAATTATTCGAGAACGTAACTGACAGCGCACGCCACTGACGATATGTAGTTACGATCGGATCCGTCCGGAATGCGCTTTCGTCCACCGCATCTAAAAATGTTAACGAATGAAAATACAGCTCCATCATTTGGTAACTAAGTTGCGTATGTGGTGGCGATAGCGTTGCCTTCAAACCGAACGTTACTGGGAGCGAGACCTGACCACGGGTAAATTGACCGACGAGTATTCGGCCCTTCGACCTGGAATAGAAATACCGAAGGAGCGCACGTCCTAGCAGCGAGATGATGAAAAGTGGCACGATACAACAATTAGTTGAACGAAAATAATCTATTTGGAGGATCGCATGCGCCTAACATATAATTATTTCCTTTTGCAATTTGTTTCGAAAGATACCTTCTTCTAACGGAATAAACCACCTCATTTCTTGTATAGATACAATAAAAGGCAATGAATAAACTATAAGACACTATTTTATAGATGACGTAGCAAGTGTTGTATGATTTCGAATATATTTCCTCAGTTTTGATCTACAGTATCACAGGGCCTTAATTGTGCGACCGCCAAAATAATTGCTTAAAATGTCGCAATAATAGGATTTTGTTTAATTAACACATGTCAGCATTCAATTAGACTTCTTGGATAATGTATGTACCTATATAAAGATAGCCTGGGAACTAGTTAACATAGCGAGAGTATGTTGCTTGATTCTTAATATTTTTTAAATATAGACAAATGTAAATCGTGTATGGTTTTGAAGCAAAAACAATTTCCTAATTACAATTCCACTTTTTCCTTTTATTATGAAGCGATATAAGTTAAACATAAAGGACCCTTAAGAATTATTACTCAGCGAATATGAAAGTGAAACTCTTTTTACTCTGCGTCAGCACTCAGCGGCGTGACGAGTCATCGACTTTCGTTTATCCGTTACACTGTGATCAATCAATCTGCGAAAAATATTAAAAGCCCCGTTCGTCGAACGAAGAAACTAATGTCAGGAGTTCTTGTTTCCGTAGAAATAAAGACCCGATGCGTCTAATTTAATATCACAAATATTGCCGGGGCCGGCTCTGCTTAGAGGGTATCGGACCGCTGACGTTGCGCCGGCGCACGTTTAGAACTCGTACGCTTTGTAGATACCGGCGGACCTTCTTTGATGACCAGGCTTCGACATGAGGTGTTCTTTTACACTTAAAGCGAGTGGTAATGATATTTTGTAGTTTAAATGTGAGTTTGATTGCCTCCAGGCGGACAACGGTCGGAGGCTGAAATCGTCTCTGCGGCGCCTTTAGCGTGCAAACCTTAGCACAGTACTATTTATTTCTTCATCTGAATTTTCGCACCGATTTTAATAGACATGTTTGTTCGTACATAATTGTTCTGAATGATCCTAAAAAAATCTCTTTTCACCTTCGACAAAACTTTGGAAGAACAGTGTGAAGGGCGTAAGGATAATTGATAAATAGTTATTTTACAAGTAGAAGGTAACGGTGTCGAAACAAGGCGAAAATATTCGACACTAAAAGCGCGATCACATCGTTAACAAAAAAAAACCGAAAATTTTATTTAAAAGTTGTGTAATCAAAGGACGGCAGAAGAGGAATTGTCGCATCTCAGTGAAACATTTAAATAGGTGCCTCAGAGGACCTGCGGCCTCGCGGGGGCGGGCGGCCGTAAAGATCGTCACGTGAGGTGGGCGGGCGGGGCGCCCGCGCCGTTACTCTCGCGAGAGTCGATTAAGAAATTGGCACTCGGCGCCTTATTGCCGAATTAATTAAGTTCCGGGTCGACCAGATACGATTAATACTCCGATAAATTGCCTTTTAAGTGGCGATAAAAGAAAACCGGACAAGAGTTTGGCCCAACTCCTTTGTAAGTGAATATTGAGATCGTCAATTTAGGTTTTCGACTGAATCGTGGTAAAACCGATTGAAAGAATGAGTTATTAGATGTTGGTCGTTAGATAACGGCGTGTAGTAGCACATCGTAACTTGTTTAGTTTTCTTGTAACTGTATTGCAAATCTTTTGTGTTGTTTCGTGATCAGTTGCTTATACTCATCTCTAATCTTTGTCTTTATAGTTACCTGGTTGT